ACTATGTCTGATCACTCACCTTTATCTTTTAAATTGAGATTAGATATAAATTTTGATGAAGAACTACCTGGAAATCAAGCTCATGCTAGATGCGTTTGTGAAAATGTAAAGTGGAATGATGATAATGTAAACTCCATACGACAGAATCTTAGTCAAAATATCAATGTATTAAGTGAACTTCTCGTTACACCTTTGTTAAACAAGTCAGATGTCTAAATATGTGTTAACAAACTTTGTTCTTTTCTAAATGAGATGTGTTTACTAATGTGTGATGTACATAGATGTAAGTCAACTATAACTGATAATGTCTCGAAGAAAAACAGTATTCAGCATGAGGATAAACCCTGGTTTAATCTTCCATGTAAGCAGATGTATAAGATATACAAAGATGCCTTACATACATTTAACAATTTTAAAACTGCTGATAATCATAGAATATTAATTGAGAAAAAAATTGATTATAAAATATTTGAGTTAAGACTGAAGAGAGAATATCAGCGACAGGAGGGAGATATGATGGAGTATCTTAGAAAACACAACCCGAAACATTTTTATAAATACTTTTCGAAACAAAAATATAAAGTTTCTAACAAAATTTCTCTTGACAAATTCTACAATCATTTTAAAGATGTAAGTTGTCAAGGTAATCCAGTTCACGAGATAGGCGAAACAACTTTAGATGAAAATAATATATCATGTGTATTTGAAGAACTCGACTCCCATATCACAGAAAAAGAAGTTATTTCTGCAATACATAAGTTAAGTAGAAATAAAACTTGTGGTGAGGACAAAATGCTTGATGAGCTTTTTATTGATTGCAATGATATACTTGTTCCATATTTAATCAAACTTTTTAATTATATTTTTCAATTAGGGATTTTCCCTGAAGCTTGGTCTACTGGGAGTATTACCCCCGTATATAAGAAAGGCGATATAGAAAATACAAATAATTACAGGGGCATTACTCTAGTCAGTTGCATGGGGAAGTTGTTTACCTCCATTTTGAATAAACGACTAGTTAATTGGGATGTTAAAAATAATGTGGTAACAGATGCTCAATTTGTTTTTAGACCCGGTCATTCAACCGTTGATGCAATATTTGCACTTCAGTCTTTAATTAATAGATATTTAAGTAAAAAAAGGTGGTAGACTTTACTGTTGCTTTGTTGATTACAAGAAAGTTTTTGACTTAATCGACAGATCTCATATGTGGTGCAAATTGATTAAGCAGGGTGTTAGAGGGAAAATGTTACGTATAATTCAATCGTTGTATAGTTCAGTTAAGTCATGTGTAAAGCACAATGGTTTGTATACAGATTTATTTTCAAATACATTCAGTCTATTTCAGGGGGAAATTTTGTCACCCATTTTAAACTCCATGTTCGTCAATGACTGTGAAATTCATTTTATAAAAGAAGGTTGTCCATCTATTGAAATTAATTTAATTAACATTTTTCTTTTAATGTATGCTGACGATACGGTGCTATTTGCAGAAACGCCAGAAAAGTTACAACATATTCTGGAAGCTCTGAAATCATATAATAACAAGTACAAACTCAATTTGAACACTGATGAGACGAAAATAGTAGTTTTCAGGAATGGTGGCGGGGTAAGAAACAACGAAAAATGGTTTTACGACACTAAAGAGCTCCAAGTCGTCGACCAGTTTAATTACTTAGGCATGCTCTTTAATTACAATGGTAAATTTGATGTCACTCAAAAGCATGTTGCAGATCAGGGTAATAAGGCATATTATGCGCTTTGTGATAAGTTTAAAAATCATAATTTTAATATCAAAACACAATGTTCTGTATTCAACACTTATATTAATAGCGTCTTAAGTTACAGTGCAGAAGTATGGGGCTTTCATAACGCTCTTGATGTTGTAAAGATACACATACATTTTAGTAAAAGGCTACTCGGAGTCAAGAAGAGTACGTGTAATAATTTAGTTTATTGTGAGTTAGGAAGATTACCATTGTCTGTATGTAGAAAACTGATATTTTTTTTAAATATTGGTTAAAATTAAAAACTTCGAATAATTGCATTTTAAAAACATGTTACGAGGAAAGAATTTTGTCAAATGATAATTGAATTCTTGATATCCGCACTGAACTCAACAAATTAGGTTTAATTTACCTTTGGGAAAATGTTAGCAATGATAGAAATATCTATACAATCATTGAGCAAAGACTTTTGGACTTTTACCGGCAGGAAATATTAACTAATATCCAAACAACTCCGAAAGGATTCCTTTATCAACATCTTTTAGACAATTTTTCTTTGCAATCATATTTAATAAAACCAATTAATAATTCATATAAAAAGACTCTAGTTCGCTTTAGACTTAGCTCTCATAATTTAAATATTGAACAGGGAAGATATAGAAACCTTCCTAGAGAACAAAGATTCTGTAACTTATGTTACTCTAATGATATTGAAGACGAATTTCATTTTATATTAAAGTGTAACTTTTATAACGACTTAAGGCGCGAGTGTATTAAGCCTTTTTATTACAAACGACCAAGTGTTTTCAAATTGATTCAGTTATTTACTACTCAGAACATGAAGGAATTGAATAAATTAGGAAAATTCCTGTTTTTAAGTTTAAAACGTCGTAATAGCACTGTATAATATTTTAGCTCATTTTTCCTGTAAATATGTTCATTTCAGTATACCATATTTGATAAGATATTTGTATTATGTGTATATTGTGTAAAAAAAAGATGATTGTGCCCGTTCATTACCTTTCCTATGTGATATAAATTATATGGTAAATTGATCATAATTAACAACGTCGAAACATCGACGAGTATTTTCTATATCGTTATATCACTGTCACTAACGTCAGGTGTAACATCGTATTTATTACACTATGGCAGTGTATTTTATTGTTTTTTTTTACTGTTCTACTAGAGAGTATTTATTCGTGACATATGTGCGATACAATGTATGTAACTATATTAATCCAGTTATCATTACCTGTAACGTACGTCATTGAAAGTTACACTATTGTTATGCTTGCACTGTATCGGAACCTTACGATGTTGGTGTATTGCAGTGTAAAATGTTGTCTCTTATTATAGGTCATTTTGAAGTACTGCACGATTAATGAATATTATTGTATACATGTATCGGTTCCGGCTGATATCTCTGAGATTGCTAAAATAATGAATGTCGCTGCAAAATTATTGTTTCCTACAAAACGGTACAGACATTATTTGAAACCGTTTACGTTTTAAACTGTCTACCCTCTTGAATAATTTCCCACACACGTCACACTACGGCTGAACGAAATGCTCCTTCATATGTCTCCTGTATACACCTCTGCTAGAACATTGTTGTCCGCATTCACTTCACTGATGACTGTTCAGTTTTCGTTTTAACTCCATCAGCTGTTTTTTGGCGCCTTCGTCTCCGCGCGCAAATTTTTCAAGAAGCTCAGATAAAAATCCACCCTCCATGGTCGAGTTTCTGTCCGCTCTTTGACAGCTTTAGTCACATACCTGAATTTAAATGTTGCGCTCTTTTTATTAGCGCATGCTCAGTCGACTAGATTTTAAAGGATAGCCACTTACGCTTAGTGTTCTGCATGAATTGCGTTGGCGTCTCTCTGACATACAGCCATCCACCCTTTTGACCTTTGTGCTGACCCTTCTTCCGGCGTGTACTGCGTCTAACGCCAGTGAACTTTTCTTGACCGCTAGGCTTTTTACTGATGTCCTTTGATTGACTGTCGGGCTTTTCAGTGTTGACCTTTCCTTGACTGATTTCTTCAGTCACTTCTGCTTGACCTCTGGTCTTCTTAGTGGTCTCATTGTTGTCAGTTTTATTGTTCTCGCTGTCTGCTGTTGTCTCGTCCGCTTCTGTCAGCAGTTGCTAATATATAGGAGGTGAAGGTGAAGTGTCCATTAACAGGTAACCAATATTTGCGATGTTGCCAACTGATATGCTTCTCTAAAATAGACATTTTGTCTCGAAAATATTTGCCGACCGAGAGCTTCCACTTGCGATTGATCTCTGTAATTCTTGAATAAGATGAAATATTGTGTGTTTAGACTGAGCGTTCGCATGACCTTCCCCTTTTGAAAAACGTTTTGTACTAAAAACATGACTGTGAAATTTTGATGGTGAGATTTTACAAAAAACATTTTCATTAAATGTGGACCGTCTACACCTTCTGCCATACAATTATCGATCACTAGTAACTTGTGACCATCAATTTCCCCCCATTCCTCAAACTGGTTCTCGTTTGGCAGTCCTTGATGAAATGTTATTTCCTTAAGATTGTTACGTAATTCATCAAACATGGATTGCCATGTATCGTAACAGAGAATGATCTTGATAGGCGCTTCGCTAAACATACCATCGGCATGTTCTAATATATGTTTAGTCAAAAATGTCTTACCACTTCCACTCGCCCGCATATCATGATTCTACACGGTGACTGGAACTTAACTAGACTCTCTTTGACATACCACTCCATCGTTTCTTTGTATAACGAAAAGAACTCAACAAGAACAGTATTTATATACAATCTTTATTTATAATTCAGCACAACAACTCTGATTATTAAGGCAAGAATTAACATGACATGGAAATGCATTTGATATGAAATCATAAACGAAATGGTCGTTTTCTGTATAGGTATTCCCAAACTGATTCACGATAGAGTTCATAGATATACCCCTACATCTATTCAATAGGTAATACAAACAATATTGTCCACAAACGTTTGAAGCATTACTCTGCAATCGCTTATCATTGTATGCATTTGCTTTGAATGAATAGTATTCTGGTGAGTCACCATAGCTATCAAAAAAATCCTTTTTTTGTAGACGATTCCATATAAAAAGCCATCCAATGTCTTCCTGAACGGTCGCTCGAGTCCGTATTGACAATAAAGCCACAGGGGAAACCATTTGACTTGCGAGGTATTTGATCTCGAGCAAACACTCCACTGACTACTTTTCTCATTACAGAATCAGAATTTATCACATGGAGAAGCTGTCGAGTGTTCATGGCGATACGCTGTCTCTTGCAGCGTTGATTTCAAAATAGCCGGGATATTCGCAGTAGATGACACAAGACACGGCTTCTGTCAATGCAGTTCCAAATGTTACCTCCAGTCTCACGTTTCCTTGCTTGAGCAAGGTAAGATACTGACTCGTTCTGAAGGTCGGTTCTAGGTTAAATGTATAAAGGGAATAGCCTAGTCCGATATCGTCTCTCTCTAAATTCAATCCGCTATCATTCAGCCATTTGCAGGTGGATTGTTGCATACTCCTCAGTACTGGGATGACCGTCTGCCCTCCATTATCGCTATACTTTAGCTTTAGGGGATTACCGCCGACGGGTATACCATCTACGTAAAGTCCGAATGATGAAATGTCGTAAGATTGAAAAAACCAGGGGTTTTGTTCGTAGTTACCCGATACACCTGTAGCATTTACAAATCCAACTACGACTACATTCGGTCTCAAACCCTGAAATATATTATCGTAGGTGAAATTGGTGGAACCTGTTGGAATGGTCATCTGTTTGATGAGAGTCTGGGTAAATGAATATTTGGCATTAGTCCGTTCGAGAGCTTGACTTTGAGCATATATGACGGCGGGGGAAACTTTGGCTTTACTCACGCGCAGTCGAATGTCTTCAAACACAATCTTATAATCTGCCGTGACATTACCCGACATTAGACAAAATTCGGGTTTCCATCTGTACAGTTTGACGTTGACGTTAACTAGGTTCAACAGATACCTGTCCATCTTGAACAAAGCGTGGTAAAGCGGCCCTACCATGTCCACCACCTTTCCCCCTTCGAAACGTTTCGCTCTGTCGAGAAGTGCATTATTAGAACCCGTTCTGGGACTATCTGCGTCCATGCTACCTTCATCGTCTTGCTCCCACAACTGAGTAGACAATTGTGACGTTTTGGCGTCCTTGCCATACTTCATTAAAACTTGAAGATAGGCTTTGTAGGCATAATGGTTTATTGTCGATACGACAGTCTTACCTTGTAAAGTAACATCCACTTGTGAAAACAAAGCAGGTAAACATACATTAACGGGTCCTACATCTTCTGTATCGCTTATTGCAGTTCCATCTGCTTTAACAATTTTAACTTTTACATAGACGAGACTGTTTTTCAAATCTAGCAATTCTAATCCGTTTTGACGGGAAACTACGAATTCGACGGGTGAGTCGCTGCTAATTTGTGATATGGGTAACATGTCTTGATAATATACATTTTCAACAGCCGTTTGTGTCGGGGGGGGATCGAACAGAGCCAATTCTGAGGGTTGTGCTTATCTAACAAAAATCCTTGTTTAGCGTAGCCATTGCGATATGAGACTTTTGTTCGTCTTTTTTGTAGATTTTTTGGTATGACGCTTCTTAGACGACTTCTTAGTAGACTTTTTTGTTGACTTTTTGTTCCTACTCTGCTTCTTTCTTATAGTCGATTTACGTCTTTTCAGCTGCTTTCTAGAGGTGTGAACACGACGACGCTTTGCTGACAAATGACGACTAGGCGAACGTCTATGCCTTTTAAGTTCAGATTTAACCTGCTCGACGACTTGCTGTGCTGGCGACACCATGTTAACGTCGAGATCCCGTGCTGGTAAAGACTTTTCTCCTTCGTTGCTGTTTTTATCTATGGAAATCATAAATTCGTTAGAATTCTGTGATAGACCCCATTGTTTTACGTTCCTGTTCACGTTGTTTGCATATGCATTTTCCTTGCCTTGTGCCACATCTTGGTAATATTTTATCCACTTCCCTACGTTAGGGACGTACATCTTTGAAACAGTCATGCTAAGAACGGAAACTGCTTAAAATGAAGCGTAACCGTCGCTCGTCCTTTAAGAAATGAAACAGGGTCTCCTTTGCCGGTCTTTATATTGATTTCTATGTCTCCGATTTTCTCACTGGAACGTAGAATGAATTGTCGAATGTCTGTGACCAGTTACCTACTTTCAACGCTCTCACCACTCGGAGAAGGCTTTCCTTTTCCCCATCGACAAAAGTTTCACCGCATACGTCGCTGTGTATGTAAATATTTTGTTTCGTCTTTGATATAGCCGGTGGTAGGGTTATATCTACTAGTGCTACTTTCCATACCCCCACGAGATTTAGCAAGGATTGAAAGTATGATCGAAACTGTGCAATATTGTTTTCGGGAAAATAGGCTTGACTCCTATCACTGTGAATGACTACGTAGTGTGACATCTTACGTGCTCGTGATGTCTTTGATATCTTTTTCAATAATCCACTGGTTATATCGTGAGGGCCAACCTTCGAATTTTACAAGCCATTCGATCTGTCCACGTCTCTTTCGCTTCTTTAGTTTTGTTTCGATGTACCATAATGCATTTTCGTCATTGTCCACTCTTTGCAGGTCAGACTGGGAAAAGTTTCCTTTAATGTCCTCGTTTAAAAAGTCGACCAGTTGATATTGTGGAATGCCTTGTCGTAGAAATCGACTGTTCACTTTAAAAAATTCGGAAGACCATTGTTGTTGATAGGCTCTAGTGAAAGGTTGCTTTAAATGAGAAATTCTCACGAGACTTCCAATCTTCAATCTATAAGGGTTTCTTTTACCTTTCATAGATTTTACCTTTTGTTTTATCGGCTTTTTTTAAAGATACAAATAGGCAAATACATCGGCTTTATTGGAATCGTTTACGTCTCTTGGCGGTAGCCCATTTAAGGATCTATGAGGTGTGGCGTTGTAGTTCCCAACAAAATCTTGTAATTTGTCGATGTATTGATAAGTTCTATATTTTGTAAAATATCTGTACATCATCGTCTTAAGCGTTCTGATTACCCTTTCTGCATAATTAGCTTTTGTTTCATTCTGGCTGGAGAAATAGTGAACGTCATGTGTTTGACACCATTGTTTCATTAATCTGTTGTTTATCTCTCAACCTTTGTCACTACGCATGCGTTTTGGTATTTTACCTCTTTCAATGATTTTTTTAAATGCTTCTAATACATCTCTGGCTGTTTTTGTCATTATAGGTTCGATCCATAAGAAACGAGTGAACACGTCAATAACGACGAGGAGAAAGCGATAGCCAGAATTCTGCTTTGAGAGGGAGGAAACGTCTGCAAGATCTACATCGTATTGCTCATAAGGACCGGAAACCTCTACCCGTGCTCTCTTAAATGAACGCCTTGGAGGTTTCTGTAAACTGTTATCGTCGAGACTTTGGATATAACGTCTAATCTTATCAAGAACTGGTGATTTATAGCCTTGTGATTTCAATATCTGATGTACTTTCGTAGGACTGAGAAATGCACCACCGTTCTTAAAGTCATAATACACCGCGTCTACGCGACGCTTCACCTCTGCTGTTAACATAATGATAATGAGACAAAGAATTATGTACATAATCTTTTATTACAAATAAAAATATCTTTTGAATTATTACAATGGTTTTTTTAAAAACTTACTCTCTAAACGAATCATGGACATAGTCATCACGGAGATTTCTTCTTTCCATTTCTATGTTTTGAGTTGTCTGGCTCTCCATTCTACACTACATAGCTGCGATATAAAGTCAATTCTTGCTTTTTTCGGAATGTTAGTGGTAACGATTTCACAAATAAAGTCACGTATCACTTTCACGTCATCTACATGCTCTAAAGCGTCCTTCATATAACATTGTCGTCCTTGTGTGATTTTCTTGATATTTTCTTAACGTGATATGCATATACAAGTTTTAAAAGGTTAACCATTCTGATATTATCTGACGAATTCATAATCCTTTAGTGTTTTAAAACTAATGCTTAACGTTCAGCGATATTTATATGTCTTTCCACACTTGTAGCAGGTAGCGTAATGTCCAAAACCTTCGTAGAAGAGTCCGTCACGAGCGAGGTAGTACGGACGAAGTTTTGATGGCCACTGTACGAATGTCAGTAGTCGATCTGTGTGATTTGTCATGTATTTATGAAAAATGTCTTTACGATCCATCTTTATATAAACAGCCGACTTTCGTTAACACCTATCTTCTTGACGAATTTCTTAATCTTTGCATTATAGTGTTCGATAACGTAAGCACCATTGCGCAGTCGTCGGTCTTGCATGAAACATTGTAACGATCTAGAAGGGATACACGATTGTAGGGCGGATTCGCACCAAGTCTTTTCAACTTCTAAATAGTTGGTAAAAGTTAATGCTTCGTCAAAATGTAAATCTACCACATCGTCATAGGAAAGCATCACACAACTATGCCCCAGTTGATTGGTTAGACCTTCTTTACATCCACCACACACAAACAGTTCCGTAATCTTAGATCTGACAGTATAAGTGACGCAGTCCTCAATGCCACTATAGAAAAATCCGTTACTTGCCAGTTGATAGGGTGATTGATGATGGTTTTTCGGCCAGTTAGTAAATGTATCTATTCTGTCACAACACTTAATCAACGATGGATGACGGGGCTGTATCACGTTTACAGTATGACGGTTGCTGTCGGTTTCACATGTCATTTTCCATCAATGAATAAACAACAGTTTTTTAAAAATGTCACCTGTGATTTGTAAACTCTTTTTTTTCCTCGCGTAAACAAACTTTCACCTCACTTTTGACTTTCTTAACGATGACTTGCTGTGTTAATCCTATACGGCAGGTAATACTGCTTGCGGAGACATCGTAGACGTCGATGTTTCCACCACTGACGAGGCCGATCTGTTTCTGTGCCATGCGGTACTACTGAAACCTTAAGGGACTCCTGTGTCTTTTATAGAACATGTAATGTAACCTCACCGATACCATACGAAATATGAACCCTACGTTATCACACGAAATATGAACCTTACGATACCACACGAAAAACGTACCACCCGAAATACGTGCCCCACGAACCGCACGAAAAACGTACCACCCGAAATACGTGCCCGACGAACCGCACGAAAAACGTACCGACCGAAATACGTGCCCCACGAACCGCATGAAAAACGTACCACCCGAAATACGTGCCCTACGAACCGCACGAAATACGTGGGTTTTATAGCAGCATTTTACAACTACTGATCGCAGGCGAGACCATCGGCTTGCCTTTTTTTATAAGATCGTGAAGGGGCTAGTGGCCATACCTGTAGATCACATATTGACTTCAACAAACACCCGTACCAGATAAAAAAAAATAGTGAAATTACCGACATTCCCAGTGTAATACGGACATATTGAAATATTCATTTTTTCCTCGAACAACAACAAAGTGGAATAACCTACCAGAAGACCTCGTCAAAATGCAAGAACTTAAAAGCTTCAAGACAGCATTACAAACCGAAACAATATAAACTAAATGCGCACTCCTCCAACCCTGGAATTTATACTCGAGGCCTTCCAGTAATATACAGATACAGATACAGATTGGAGGTACATACTATTGGGGTGTAACGGACTATTTCAAGCTATGTTAAAATAACATAGGAGCAGCCCGTAAATAAATTCCTGTATCCATCCCTGGAGCCTGCCCCCTCACAATTATTTTTTTGCATCATTATTCTTGGAAAACATTCACATTTTCTTTCATATGATGCTGAAATAATGTATCTATCACCCAGAATGTGTAGATAATCGAACATTTTGTGAAAATTTTAATTCAAAATAAAAGTATTTTCATTCTTATTATTCTTGTATACTAAAACTTTTCATAGTATGAAGAAGTGGTGTTCTTTCAAATATGTATGCAAAAAATCAGTTAAAAAAAGTGGAGGAAAGTAATAATTTTGCACAACAAAGTCCCCTGTGTATCCAAAAGGTGAGGGCCTACGACACCTCCCTGGCGTCCACCAGAAAGCAATGCATCTGATTACAGGTAATTGGTAATGAAATTCGTTGCAAGCATAAATTAAACCTTTCAGTGCATGTAAGGTCACAAAAAATCTAAATTCAGATTTGCTTCATCACTGTCCGTGATTATAAAGTTTTTGTTAACAATTGTTTTTGAGATCAAATGTAATATCCTTGTCACCTTTAAGGATTTGTTTTTATACATTTTATCATCAGCGTTTTGTTTTTACGTTGTTTTAGGGGATGCTTCATACTCATTTAATATTCATCTCATAGTGAAGAGTAAATGTATTGGTGAAGGTTGCCATCGTATTTTCGAGAAATCTCGTAAATGTTAAGGTACAAGAAATTCACAATATAAATGGCTTTTGGATATATTGACTAAAGGTGACAAATATCAGGGGCGGATACAGGAATTTATTTAGGTTATTATTTAGCCCAAATTTAAAAATGAAAACTTAATTTTGCTACCATTTTTCGCGCATAGGAATTGGCATAAAGTCTCTATCGTATATTCTGTCATCAATATCAATTAGTATATAGGGTATATGTCGCTGATGATAGGGATTAGTATATAGGGTATATGTCGCTGACTATAGGGATTAGTATATAAGGTATATGTCGCTGATTATATCAATTAGTATATAGGGTATATGTCGCTGAGTATATCAAGTAGTATATAGGGTATGTGTCGCTGATTATAGTGATTAGTATATAGTGTAGATGTCGTTGATTATAGAGATTAGTATGTAGGGTAAATTTCGATGATTATAGGGATTAGTATATATGGTATATGTCGCTCATTATAGGGATTAGTATATGTCGCTGATTATAGGGATTAGTATATAGTGTATATGTCGTTGATTATAGAGATTAGTATGTAGGGTAAATTTCGCTGATTATAGGGATTAGTATATAGGGTATATGTCGCTGATTATATCAATTAGTATATCGGGTATATGTCGCTGATTATAGGGATTAGTATATAGGGTATGTGTCGCTGATTATAGGGATTAGTATATAGGGTATATGTCGCTGATTATAGGGATTAGTGTATAGGGTATATGTCGCTGATTATAGGGATTAGTATATAGGGTATATGTCGCTGATTATAGGGATTAGTATATAGGGTATATGTCGCTGATTATAGGGATTAGTATATAGGGTATATGTCGCTGATTATAGGGATTAGTATATAGGGTATATGTCGCTGATTATAGGGATTAGTATATAGGGTATATGTCGCTGATTATAGGGATTAGTATATAGGGTATATGTCGCTGATTATAGGGATTAGTATATAGGGTATATGTCGCTGATTATAGGGATTAGTATATAGGGTATATGTCGCTGATTATAGGGATTAGTATATAGGGTATATGTCGCTGATTATAGGGATTAGTATATAGGGTATATGTCGCTGATTATAGGGATTAGTATATAGGGTATATGTCGCTGATTATAGGGATTAGTATATAGGGTATATGTCGCTGATTATAGGGATTAGTATATAGGGTATATGTCGCTGATTATAGGGATTAGTATATAGGGTATATGTCGCTGATTATAGGGATTAGTATATAGGGTATATGTCGCTGATTATAGGGATTAGTATATAGGGTATATGTCGCTGATTATAGGGATTAGTATATAGGGTATATGTCGCTGATTATAGGGATTAGTATATAGGGTATATGTCGCTGATTATAGGGATTAGTATATAGGGTATATGTCGCTGATTATAGGGATTAGTATATAGGGTATATGTCGCTGATTATAGGGATTAGTATATAGGGTATATGTCGCTGATTATAGGGATTAGTATATAGGGTATATGTCGCTGATTATAGGGATTAGTATATAGGGTATATGTCGCTGATTATAGGGATTAGTATATAGGGTATATGTCGCTGATTATAGGGATTAGTATATAGGGTATATGTCGCTGATTATAGGGATTAGTATATAGGGTATATGTCGCTGATTATAGGGATTAGTATATAGGGTATATGTCGCTGATTATAGGGATTAGTATATAGGGTATATGTCGCTGATTATAGGGATTAGTATATAGGGTATATGTCGCTGATTATAGGGATTAGTATATAGGGTATATGTCGCTGATTATAGGGATTAGTATATAGGGTATATGTCGCTGATTATAGGGATTAGTATATAGGGTATATGTCGCTGATTATAGGGATTAGTATATAGGGTATATGTCGCTGATTATAGGGATTAGTATATAGGGTATATGTCGCTGATTATAGGGATTAGTATATAGGGTATATGTCGCTGATTATAGGGATTAGTATATAGGGTATATGTCGCTGATTATAGGGATTAGTATATAGGGTATATGTCGCTGATTATAGGGATTAGTATATAGGGTATATGTCGCTGATTATAGGGATTAGTATATAGGGTATATGTCGCTGATTATAGGGATTAGTATATAGGGTATATGTCGCTGATTATAGGGATTAGTATATAGGGTATATGTCGCTGATTATAGGGATTAGTATATAGGGTATATGTCGCTGATTATAGGGATTAGTATATAGGG